TGGTTGTGTGTGAGAGTGCTGCCAGGCTGCAACTGGGCCAGCTCAAGGTGTGGGCTGGGGTTGGCACTGCAGCTGGGAACATCTTAACAGCTTGGGCCCTCCTGGGTAGGGTGGGGCATGCTCAGGCTGGGTGCCCACCCTGCTCCCCACAGCAAGCCTCTTGCCCATCCCCAGCTGTAGCCTGACCTTGCTTGCCTGCCTGGGCCTGTCTGTCCCAGGAGCACTGCCTGAACTTCGTGGTGAAGGAGTCCCACTTCAACCAGGTGATCATGATGAAGGAGTTCGAGCGCCTGTCGTCCCCACTAATTGTGGAGATTGTGCGGCGGAAGCAGCAGCCACCCCCTCGAACCTCCTCAGACCAGCCTGTGGACATTGGTAGGGAAACCTTGTTCCTCTGCCCTGGGGGTGGAAGATACAGTATTTATCATGGGTAGGAGTTTTGGGAGCCATGGAGGATTAGCCAGACCCTTAGGACAGGGGTTGCCCTGTGCCCTGTATGCTCTTGGCTCCAGGGGCAGAGATGGACAGGGGCAGGCAGGCTTCCTCAAAGACCCTCAACCTATAGAACTTTCCACAGTAGGCTGTGAGGAGCTTGGATCCCCTGAGCCCATTTCTGGGGATAGGCATGGAGCTTCTTTCTAGCTGAGCATCAGATTTGATTGTTTAAGATCAGTGATAAGCTGCTGAGCTTCTCAGGCACAGTGAGAAGACAGTCCTGTCTTCTTGTCCTGAAAGGACACCACAGGCTGTTTCATTTACCCAACACTTGATGACACCATTTGGTGACATCTGGAGGCACTACTGAGGGCTGGGTAGAGGCTGTGGTGCTCCAATTTCGCCAGGGGTGCTGGAGGAAGAAGAGAGTGGATTGGTGGCACTATGATCCCAGGGAGCCCTTGCAGAGCAGTGATGTGGGCACATGTACAGAGAAGACAGTACCTGTGAGGTCCCAAGGCCACAAAGCAGCCCCTTTGCTCAGGGTCTGCTAGGGGATGTGAGAGACACTTGCTCAGGATCCCTTCACATCCCCAGGCACATCTCTGATCCAGGACATGAAGGCATACCTGGAAGGTGCAGGTGCAGAGTTCTGTGACATCACATTGCTGCTGGATGGGCATCCACGGCCAGCCCACAAGGCTATCCTGGCTGCCCGTTCTAGGTTGGTTGAGGTCCTGTGCAGGAGGGCAGGGCTCAGATGGTGGCTACCTTCTGCTCAGAACTGGCTGTCTTCCACTGTCTGTCTGCAGCTACTTTGAAGCCATGTTCCGGTCCTTCATGCCCGAAGATGGGCAGGTGAACATTTCCATTGGGGAAATGGTGCCCAGCAGGCAGGCCTTCCAGTCCATGCTGCGCTACATCTACTATGGCGAGGTCAACATGCCCCCTGAGGACTCCCTGCATCCTCATGCCCCAATGGTGCTAATCTGCTCTCAGATTAATCCCAGACTTTCCCAGTCAGCGAAGGATAAGAGGGGACTATCCTCTGTGGTGAATAAGGGCCCCAGCGCCAGCATCACTCCTGGCTCACCCCCTCAAGATGACTTCAGTACCCACCTGTTCTATTTTGGCCTAGTGATCTTGGCCCAGCTCCTCATTCTGGAGAATTTCCCAGTGCCAGTACTGTGTCTGGCATTCTCCAAAAGCTCTAAAGCATGTGGGCAGCCAGAAGGAATAAGTGGTCCTTGACCCTCACAGCTTCAGAATAATGGAGTCAGTCACTGCTCTGAGTGACAGGAGAAAAGAAAGATGTGGACCGATTCCTTATACTTCAGCAGGGTTTGAGTATGAAGTACCATGGAGAAATTCTGCAGATGTGCTATGGGAGTAAGACAATTTGTAGTTTTCTTTGGATTTTGAATGCAGCCTTTGATCCCTTTGTAGTTCAGAACCTATGTAGACAGCAATCCGGTGCCTGGGCCTGGCTCCCTGGCCCTTGCTCCCAGGAGGAGGTTGTAGAAGGTATGTCAAAAGGGGCAGTTGGGCTTGCTTTGGCCATAGGCTCCTTAACTAACTCCCAGCTACCTGTTTGCGGCCCCATACTACTATGGCTTCTACAACAACCGGCTACAGGCATACTGCAAGCAGAACCTGGAGATGAACGTGACCGTGCAGAACGTGTTGCAGGTAGTGCTTGTGATACCAGTGGGCCCTGCCTTCCTCTATAGAGCATGGGTTGGGGTGCCTTAAAGTCCCTGCCATTTCAGATTCTGGAGGCAGCTGACAAGACACAGGCATTGGATATGAAACGGCACTGCCTGCACATCATTGTGCACCAGTTTACCAAGGTCAGGCCTACCCTGCCCCTGTGCTCATGGCCCCAGATCTCCCTGTCAGGACACTGTGGGAGGAGGGGAGCCAGGCCAAGCTGCACCTCTCACTCACTGGTCTTTTCTTGTTCACCTCATCTTCAGAGCTAGCCTGAGTCCTGTCCAGGTTGGGTTTTCAGAGGACTCAGCTGCCCACCCTGGCTCTTACATGAATCTGGTTCCTTGTGCAGGTCTCCAAGCTGCCCACGCTCCGGATGCTGAGCCAGCAGCTGCTGCTGGACATCATAGACTCCCTGGCCTCCCACATTTCTGACAAGCAGTGTGCAGAGCTGGGTGCCGACATTTGAGGGTCCCCTTGGTACCCCATCAGCATGGAGAATGATGCCTGCCTGCTTGGGCCACTGCAAAGACTTTCCCATCCATACCCCTCCCTATAGTGGGTGCATCTGTGGGGCCAAAGGCCAGGGTACTCAGAGCCTCTGAAGGCAGCTGAGGGGGTATGGGCCCCCAAAACCTCATTTTATTGAGGACACAAGGTTCCACAGGGGATGGAGAGTAAAGCCTCTCCTGTTCCTGGTCAGGAAGCTGGGGTTCAGTGACTAGGCCACCACAGGAGATGTGCCCTGGCTACCACCCTGAACTGGGGACCCTGGAGTGTGGCTTTAGGAGGTTCAGTGTTGCTCCTACAGTCTGGATGTTTTGTGGATTCAGGCAATGGATCCTGGCATCAGGGCAGCACAGGGAAAGTGCTTAGCAGTTACTTGAGCACCAGGCAGTCCACCTAGACTACCCCATCCCCTCTGTCATGGGCCCCTCCCAGTAGGCGCTTATGAATGGGGACAAATGATACACATCTGGTCTGCCCTGAAGATGAATTCTGGATGCGCTCTGAGGTCTGTGCCCAGCACACAGGTCAGTCATGCTGGGCTGTGCCTAGCTTCCAGAGAGGCTGCAAGCTCTCAGCCTACCCATATGTACATCTTGGCCAGAGAGGTCAGCAGAGGCCCCTAATTATTTATTGTCAGATATGCCTCCATTAAAGCCATGGCAATGCTACCTACATTTGCCTCACTGGCATAGTCTCCACTGTTGGCCTCTGGCCCTGAGCTTTGGCTGCCGGCCTACAGTGGAGGACCAACTCTGCACCTCAGTGGTTGGGTAGACTCTGGACATGGGTCAGCTGATCCCATCCATGCTATAATTCCTGCCACCACCTATTGCCACCCACCCAGTAACAAGTGGGAGAGAGGTCATAGAAAATACCAGGCTGGACCCTCAAATCATGAAACCCTACCCTACTCCTGTGCATCTCTGTTGGGTTCTGAGAGTTCTGCCTTGAGTGCAAACAAGGAGAGACTAAAGCCTCCTATTGCCCTAGAGTAAGTTCTGTGTGAGCCCATACTGATAGGGAAGGCATGGTTTTGTCTTTCTGGAAAGCAAAATAAGAGGAACCCATTTTGTTTGCCAAGAAGTCAGAGCTCACCTGGGGAAATGACTGGCTCTTTTCCTGGCCTTAGAGCTCTTTTTGCTCATACTTGTGCTCCATGTAAACATGGCCCTGCCATGACTGCAACCCTTGCTGTAGGGCCATAGGTAGCTGGGGGGCCACGGGTGGCAGGCTGGATACCTTTAATCCAAGGAAGCAGATCTGTAAGGCAGGCCAGCCAGCGGCCTACTGCTAGATGAGATGGGAAATGAGGGAAGTGTGGAACAGGAGGCACACTGAGGGACAGCTCTTGAGGAAGCAGGTGGCTGGAGTTACTGGACATGGGCTGAAGGAGTGGAGATGTGCCTCTGCAAAGTGGGAAACCAGGGTATGATTTCCTCAGTGTTCCACAAAAATCCACTGAGATTTCCTGGAAAGCAACATCATCCAAACAACCCTCCAGGAGGGACCAGCTTGGAAGCTGCAGGAACAGTCTGCACACCCTGCTCTCTGTTGACCCTCATAATTGGCTTCTCTACTATCTCTTTTGGATTTGGCATGAGTAAAGTGTTATACACCAAGTGTCCTAAAAAGCAAATTTGAAAATAGGTGTAGGTCCTAAGACTAGGAATCAGTAGTGCTCCTTGGTTTGTGTGGCCAAGGACCAGCAGGAAGTTTTTCTCTGCAGAGTGAGAACGAGCCCATGAACCCAGCTCCATGGTCACATGCACAGTGAAGCATTCTTGGTTACCTTAAGTTGAAAAGCAAACAAATAAAAGACACAGGCCAGGCCCTTCATTCCTGTCTCCAGGATCTACTCACCTGTTCCCATACTTCAAAGGGCTAAAATTTTTCTTGGCAACATCTTACCAATTATCAAGCACAGCATCCCCAGAAGGCTGATGACTGTCATTACTATCCTTTTCTGACAGGCATGTCTAGTAGTGAGTGGTACAGGGGGCTGCCCTGCCAGGCAGATGGAATCTATGCCTCTACACAGTCTGAACTGGGTTTTATGAATGCCCTCAAAAGGGGCACCCCTGCTTAAGGCAGTTGCAGCACCCAAGGACAGGGTTCCTGGTATTGTCTCTTAGTACCTACCATTTTAACCCATGAGCACCCTGTGAGACATAGCTGCGCAAGCATAGACAGGGTGGCTGTCCCCTGTGCAGGACTGAGGTGGCTAAGAACTAGGTTCTTCATGGCCAAGAGTATATACACTATACAATCTCAGCTCTCTATAGGCTATTGCTGCTGTTTAGGGTTGGAGGGACATGCCTGGCATCCCTTGCTGAGCCACACAGTAGTGTGTCCTAAAATCCACTTTATTATGGCATCTGGTGGCTGCGCTGGATGCAGTTCAGATCAGGTCCCTCTCCAGGTGGATGTGAGGAAGGAAGAGGGCACAACCTTGATGGGCAGTCCCTCCCTTAGGCCATGCTGTTGCTCAATTGCATGGCAAAGTCCTGCACATGCTCCTTCAGAGTCTGTCGGGCATCAGCCTGTGCCCGTTTCTCCCGTGCCCGCTCCTGCTGCAGCTTGGTCAGTCGCAACCGCAGCCGCTGTTCTCGCCGTTTACAAGCCTGCAGCTGACGCTGGGCCTTGTCCAGGGCATCAAGGGCTGCTTCAGCCCTCCGCTTCCAGAGTAGGGCACTACCCACCTGGTAGCTGTGTTCATTCTGGATATAGGCTCCAGCAGGTGGCGGCAGGCGCAACATGTAGGCTGAGGGGGACACAGGCCGTGGCTCAAGCGGGGAGGGCTGCCGCTCGGGTGATGGCTGGGTACTACAACCTGCTTCGTCTGCTTGGGCACCTAGGGAGCCCAGAAGGTCTGAGAAGGGGCTGCTAAGGCTAGGCTCCAATCTCCCAGCTGGCGAGGCAGGCAAAGTAGCAGGTGCTGAGGCCTCTTCCACAGGAAAGCAGGTGACATCAGCAGGAGGAGGTGGAGAAAATGGAGTCGTGGGCACTCGGCTTTCAGAGCAACTAGAGGGAAAGAAAGAGACTGACAGCCCAGACTTAATGCTAGACCCACTTCATAAGCCCATCTGATCCCCTTCCTCAGGGTCTGTGTGGCTAGAACCCCATCTGGTCAGGCTTTGGGCAGACACCCTGAAGTTCACTCCCTCAGACTTGAAATGGGAGTGGGGCAAGCCCCCACTCACAGCACATACCGCTTTCTGCATCGCCGGAGCCGGCTGACATCATGGGGCCCAGGGGGGTAACTGTGCCCCTTGGTCTTGGTTGTCCGGCGCAATTTGGAGAAAGACTCAAATATGGTAGGCACTGCCCCTTCCTTCAGCCTGTGATACCCACTGTGAGGAAAAGTAACTTGGATGAGATGGAGAACAAGTGTTGCTACCCTGGGCCAATCTGGACCTGGCAACCCAGTATGGGTTCCTCAGTACTAGGGCTGTGGTAAGCTGAAATGCAAAACTGCAAAGAGTAAGTCTGGAGAATGCCAGGACAGGCAAAGTCTACTAAGCTGATCCCTGAAGGCCTCCTCAAAGTTGAGGTGCACAGAAAAACTCCCAGTGAGGCTGAGCTGACAACTGGGGACAAGTGGTATGGAACAGCCCCTGCAAACACAAGTTTCCTTTTTTTTTTTTTTTTCTGGTACTCAGGACCTTGCACTTGCCAGGCAGGCACTTATGCCACTGAGCAATATCCTTGGCCCCAAACACCAACTTCTGGTGTAACCGGCACAGTTATCCTGGGCGTAGGTTTTATTGTATACAACTGAATAATGGAAACAGTACCCTTGGAACCAGGTTTGCCTGTCTATCGGGCAAACTAGCCTCATGTCAGATTGTCAAGGACCTCCTCATCAGGACATACAGCTGCCACAATCTGCCGCCTGGAATGATGCCCCACATCCTGCCCCAATACTTATTGGCAAGGAGGCCCACCTGATTCCCACTAGCTCAAAGCAGTTCTCCTCGAAGTGTTTGGAGCAGAAGTAGATGTACTCTGAGGCCGGATCCCACAGGCCCTGGCCGCTGGGGTCCAGCCGTTGACAATTGGCCAGCCACAAGCCGCGCCTTGGGTTGTCCTTCTTGGGAAGTCTGCAGAGCCACAAACCCGTGAGCACCAGGCTGTCCGCAGTCCTAGGCTCATACAGCCCAAGTTCCCTAGGCAAAAAGAGCAAAGCCGGCACAAGCCGGCAGGAGACCTCCCCGGGACCCTGCCTGATATGCATCACTCGCTTAGGGAAAGGGGAAGAGGCTCAGGCCTCGAGAAAGCAGCTTGCTCTGCGCTATAGAGCAGGTAAGACTCTGAAAGCAACTCCTAGACCTCCGGTCCTCCTTTTCTGGACAGCATTTAGTCCCATCTGGACCTTTTCGTTCACCCTCCCAATCTGAAGTACAACGATAGTTTGGACCTGAGAACCGCGGACAGCACCGGCACAGACGTGACCCAAAGCTGCGGGCAACAGTAGCGCATGTGCAAGGGAGCCCTCGCGCACCAGCACGCACGCGCGCTGACCTGTGGAAGGAAATGCCGCGGTTGCGCGTCTCCCGAGTATCTCGCGTGCAGCAGCCGGCGGCAGAGCAGTGACGCGGCATCTGGGGAAGGGGCGGGAGGGTAGGTCGCGGGCAGCTGTCCGGGCCGAGTGGCTGCTTGCCCTCAGCTGCCACTCTCGCCAGGGCCCCTTGGCTTATAGGACCACCCGTGACCAGATGTCGACCTGACCCTGTCCCAGCCAGTCCTCTTTAACTCCCGCTAGCGGCACTCACGGTCTCGCCATTGCTGCGCCGTTGAAACCTCGCGATGGAGGGAGCGTGGCGGAAGTTAGTACCATAGAGACTCGCGCCTGCGGCACTCAGCTGAGGGCGGTGCCCTGTGCGTGGCGGACCGGAAGAACTCCTGGTTGGCTGGTTGGAGGCGGTGAGAGCGCGGCGGGTGGGTCGGTAGCAGCGGTCCTGCCGGCTCTTCGTGGTGCTGCCTTTGCTCTCTGTCGGCTTCTCCACTTCTCTCCAAGGCTTATTCTTCCTAAACGCTCCGGCACGCTTACAGCAGCCTCAGCAGAATGTGGGAGGCCATAAAGGTGCCCTGGAGTCTCCGATCCAAGAAACAGTACGCCAAGGAAATGGGGCAAGGATTCTCACAAAAACAAAACAAAAACCTGTGCTCAAAATTTACTCCGAGGTCGGGGCTGAGGTGCACACCGGTAATCCACGCTACTCCAGCGTTGAAGGAGAACGGTCAAATTGGAGGCCAACCTGAAACTGAAGTGTGCCTCAAAACCTAAGAGCTGAGCATGGAGTTCAGTGGTAGAGGGCTCGGGGGTTCAGTCCTCTGTACTGGGCAAACCAAAAAACAAAACACTTCTCCCGCTATTAGCAGTTAGCAATCCCCTAGTGCATTTGTCATGTGCAAGAAGTTCTGTGCTTCTAGGAACTTGGCAACAGTGGAAGCAAGCTAAGGATGTGCATGAAAATGGAGCGCCAGGAACTGGGTTGCACAGCCTCTTCAATATAAACGAAGTGGGAGGGCACCCACCCTCTTCTCCCACAAGAGGAAGGTGACAACAGCCACTCCGTGGCATTATCCAGCCTAACACACTCAAGGCACTGTGTTCATCCTAACATCACAAAATTAAAAAATAGAACCATAACATTACTGTACTAGTCAGATATGGCCTACCGTGTATGATTGAAAATAGTGAATGTTTTTAAAAATTTTATTACAGAAGGCACACTGCCATTAATCCTCCAAATAATCCCCTTTGCTTCAAACACGTCACCATTCTTGCCAGTTTCTGAAGCTGTTCTGGAAGCCCTCTTCATCTTTAGTTGCACAGCCATGGCTGCCTCCAGCCTGAATCAATTCAAAACTGTTTACCTAGAGCTGGGAGTGGTGGCCCACGCCTGTAATCCCAGCATTTGGGAGGCTGATTTAGGACTGCCATGACCAGACCTTGAGATCCTGGCTCAAAAAAAAAATCAAAAACAAAAAAGGTTTACATTTCAGTTATTTGACTTTGGGGAAGAACCCCAAGTCCCACAGTGTCACATCCAGTGAAGACCTGGTAGATGAGTACATACTGTGTTTCAATGAAACTGCTTTTCTGTTGGATGGCACTTGGCAGCAGCACTCACCATGCTTTTGATCACACATAAAGGAGAAAATTCCAGCATTGCTTCATCAAGTGGCAAGAACCATGGGTTAAATGTTTAAAATGGGGGGATATTCTCAAGGAAATTACTGACAATGTCTTTTACTGCAATAATTTTTCCTAACTATATATTTTTCTTTTGGTTTTTAAAATTTTTATTTGATACAGGGTCTCACCACACAGTTGAAATTCATAGTGACCCTCCTGTCTCAGCCTCCCCAGTGCTGAGATTACAGGCATATGCCACCATGCTGAGTTTGTGGTCAGCACAGAGCACCTGGAGTTCTGCGGCTGGCTCAGCACATAGTATCGAAGACTGACTCAGGTCCCTGTGTTTGCCAGGCTGACACTTAGATTGCTGAACTATCTCCCCAGCCGTTTTTTCTTTTTTTTTGAGACAAAATCTTGCCGCATAGTTTAAGCTAGCCTTGAACTTATTACATAGTCCAGGAAGGCCTCAAACTCAAGGTAATCCTCATATTTTAGCCTCCCAAGTATTGGGATCACAGACATCTGCCACTATGCCCAATTTTAAACTATACTTGCTGACACTTTGTGAAGAATTTTTTTCTTGATTCCTTCAGACAATCATTTAGAAATCTTTCTGGGAATAATGCAGTAACTAAATATATAAACATACCTAATAATTTCTTAGATTAATTCTGTCCTTCTGAGACAAAGTTTCACTATGCAGTTCAGGCCGGCCTTAAAGTAACAGTGATCCTCCTGTCTCAGCCTCCCGTGCCGGTATTATAGGTATGTGCCACAACACTTGGCCAATCAGAATAATTTTAGGGCCTTTGTACTGAACTACAACCCCAGCCCTATTTGAGACAGGGTCTCACTAAGTGACAAACTGGGCTTGAATTTGTGATAGTCCCACCTTGGACTCCTAGAGTGATGGAATCTCAGGAATGTGCCACCATGCCCAGGTAAATGGGTATTTTCCTCCCAGAAATTGACTTGGAAAATACAGGTATCTTAAAAGAGGAATTATGTCACAATACAGCACACAGCACCAGCAATGAATGCTTCAATACAGGAACTTTAATAGGTACATACTGTAATGGTAAACAGTGCATGTGAGCAGGAAGTTAAGGAAGAGTTGCCAGCTGCTCATGCCTACTCAGTATTCTTCTCCTTCTTCAGCCTCTGCTTCCAC